TCTGGCTTCCAGCACGAGCGACCATTAAAAATGTAGGAGGGCGCTGCGTGGCCAGTATCGCGGTTGGACAAGTCAGTCGATCCAACAGGTGGAAAGACTTACCTTCGAAAGATAAGTGCCACTTAAAAAGTAATGACCTTTGGCAAGAGATTCTCGTTGCGGAGAAGTCGTATGTAAATCTCTCAGTGATAATCTTTCAACTGCGATAGTTGTTGACTTGCCGATACTTGTTCGTTGGGACAAATGGGTACTCTATTCCTTGAAACACATAGTTTCGAATGTGTTTAAATAGTTTCGATCGATCGAACGACAGCAACCACAGACTGCTATTGGCGCAGAGCGGTGACTCGAAGGGTTAAAAACTTAACGTTTTAAGGGTGCGATAATTAACAATGACTGGGATCGCTGATCTCAGAGGATGATCGAAACGAGGAAGAAGAAACGAAAGGCTGAAAAGAATAATCAAGGATAACGCTAAAAGACGAGGCTGTACGTCTTTGAATTGGATATATACGGCGACAACCAGGTCAAAGTGGGGACACGTCGAAAAGGCCAGAAGAGGATGAACCAACAGGCCCTCGAAGAGAGGAGGCACGAAGGTGGCCGTTCGTGGAGGAAGAAGGACGATCGTCCGTTTAGAAGGAGAGAAGCAACGGAGGAGAACGGTCATTGCCACCACCTCACCTCGAGCCGGTGCTAAAGTCCCCGGCACGAGGAATATCCTCGACCCTGGTACGGTCTACTGTGCGGAATCGTCCTGTAGTTTAGCTTGGCTTCGTTCTATCGGTCATGGTGGGGCCTTCACGGACAACGATGCGTCGTGTTGGGATTCGTGCATGCGGAGCGCACCCGAGAGCACCTGGATCGGTGATCCAGAAGTCGTGAACTACGCAAAGGCCACCGTCTAACCAGTTCGATCGGTGCTACCTGTGGCGGACACAGGTCGAAATTCTGTTACCTTTACTACACTACGCCGGGGTTCCGGGTGAAAATTCCCAACGCGTGTACAAAGTTCCGCACAGCCACGAAACGCATTTCGCGGAGGGTGAGAATTCGGAGGAGCCTGCTGGGGGGATGATGCTCCTCGAAGTCTGACCACCAAGTAGCGTTCATCGTCTGCAATCGTCCGCCGGTATCAGAAAGAAGGTAAGCCTCGTTTTAACAAAAACGAAAAAAAAAAAAAAAGAAGGAGAAAGAAAATATCGTTTTCCACTTTGATCGACGAAATCGGTGATTCCATGTTCGAGATGGACGTATTTAATGAGCTTGCTTCGAGATTCATTTCGAAAAGAATTTGGAAAATAGAAAATGTGTCGGCAGCGTAGCTGAACGAAAGAAATTTCAGATTTCTCGCTGCTGCAAATTTGCCAATGCGAGCCGTGATGTCGTTCACGAATACCGTTCGTTCCTTTAAGGTGAATTCGAACTTTCACAAACGCCGCGGTTTTAGTATGAGTATCATTCTCTTCGTTTCGTACGAGGCTCCGCGAGTCTGATCAAACGAAACTGAAGAAAATCGACAAAATCCCCAAGTATGTGCTGATTTTTTTTTTTTTTTTTTTTTTTCATTAGAATTTAATCGTTTCACCGATTACGAAGTGTAAATCAAATAGTCGAGAGAACCGTCACAGTAGTTATCGATAAAAGTCGACACGAGCGTGACGAGTTTTGTGAAATGTACTTTATGTTAAAATCGAGGACTTTCATTAATGTAATTCAAAAATACAGGACCCATCGATTAGAACAAATGTACTTGCGATTGTATTTTAAACGAATTACTAGTTGATAGTTTTCGCTTCTAAACAGCTATTTTATTCCGGCGAGCCGTACTTTGGCGGCAACCCACATGTGCGCCTCGTATTAGATACGTGCGTACAAATGAAAGTGGCTTGTACCGTTACAGCATACGTACTAGGCTGCGACAAAAGCTTTTTTATTACAGAGGCACGTTTGTACGTTGAGCGCGTGTACGTTCGTCTGCGAGCCATCTAATTTGCGAAAATCAGACAGACCGATAATTAGACAGTCGATCGATTTTCGAACAGCGATCCAACGACGAAGAAGGATATCCTAATTTTTCTTCGGTAACAGATCAAATTATTTGATTATACGTAGCGGGTAAAAGGAAGAAGGATAGCAACGACTCGCCTATTTGCTTTCTTTAAAACCGACTATCAGATCGTATCGTGTATCGTAACTATCAAACAGGGATCATTAAATGCTCGAAAGGATAAGTTCCAGCAACCGACTTGATAATTTACTCGAGGCTATTCATAGTTTTCTTCGAAGGATGTTTCTCTCTCTTTTTTTAAAAGTGCGATTAGTTGAGAAACGTGCGGAAAGAAAAAGAAAAAGAAGAAGAAGAAGAAGAA